CGTCCGTTGAAAAAATAAGTGAGATATCAAATAAGTAAGTATTTATAGCTCCATTTTATGTCTCCATTTTGCACCTCGAGGTTAAAAATCCGCGGCGCTCGCGCAATCCCCACGGGCCATTTGCTCGGGAAATTTCGACGCGGTCCGCGGATTTTCAACGTAACGGCGCGCCGTGAGTATAAAACAGACGGCGATGGTCGGTCGTTCATTCGTTCGTTCGTTCGTTCGTTCGTTCGTTGGTTGGTTCAGCGAGAACAAGTATTTTTATTTTTCGGAAAACACCGCTGCGCGCTCGTCGGCCGGCGTGTAGCTTTCGTTATGTCTCGCATCCGTTCGCGCCGCTCGGGAACGCAGGATCTGTCACGCGGAAACGGAATGGAACTCGAAAGAATCTCTGCGCGCGACAACGACGACGTCGTCGTCGCGCCGACGAGGACGAAGACTTTCACCTCGCGAGCGAGCGCGCACGCTAAATTCCTCGTTTGTGTAATTTAGCCGCGTAATCTAATGAGCAAACGCCGCGGACTTACCACGCGGACCGGAAATTGAGGTATACATTATGAAACGTATTGCCGTACAGCGGCGGCGGCACAGCTTTTGTACGCGAACAGTCGGCTGCGCGCGTCCTCGCAAAACCAGGTCGCGCATGCCGCCGCCGCGGCCTTACCTCCGAATTCGCGAACTTCGCACTCGAGAAATTGCAGTTTTCTGATTCGCCACGGTCGCGCGGCGACTCGTAACGATGAATATTTAGCGACGGCTACGTGACTCCGTTGAATATCCGGTCTGGGCCGAAGGGCCGACGCTTCTCGAGAAAGAGGAAGCCCTCCCGCACGGGAGAACGTGAAGCTCGCGCTGCCAGGTAAATTAGATTTATTGAGTTCGCGAGATGTTTCCGGGTGTATCTTTCCCCGCGCGCGTCCACCGTAATACATTTCTCGCATAATAATTCTTTTGCGCATAAATCGCGCGCTCTTCGTGCGGCAACGACGGCGACGGCGGCGGCGGCGGCGCGGAATTAAAAGCGCTCGTTGCGCGGTTTATCATATGGCGCACACTCGCGAGTGCGATGTAAATGTGGGGTCACGCTCTGGCGTAAAATTTGCGATAATACTAATTTAAATGACTCGTTGTGCGTCGGGTATAGGGAAGTTGGCAGAATTGTTTTTAACTGTTCTTTAACAGATTTTAGAATCAAACAAGCAGGTATTTCAAAGCCATTCTTCGCATATTTAAAAAGCTTGCTTGCTTAATGTAATCTAACTTGTTAGGAAATAGCAGAAATAATTGGTTTTGCCAACTTACCCCGGCAGCCCCGGTCTACCCCTTCGGGATGCGCATGCATGCGCTCGCGAATAGTCTGTGCTTTTCGGTTTGCCGTTCCTTCGCTTAGATACAGTTTCATGATTATCATAACGTGAGACAATCGATGATAGGAACTCTAGAATTTTTTCAATTTATCTTTCATTGCATTTATGAGACAAGTTTGCACCATAATTAATTATATATTACTATTCAAATATAAATTTCTTATCATATTGTTACAGCTACAAACTTATTAAAAGTCGCACTGAGATTTTCATAGTACATCTTGCATGATACATTGTTTTGAACAAATTTGTATCGTTCTTTTCATATTTTCATTTCGTCACTTTATGTGGTAAATATAAATGAGCCATTCATAAGGGACGCAAGCTTTACAAATCGACTAATAAAGCTACATTGAGAAAAAAATTTACTAAATTTCGTTTGTTTGGATAGTACTGTGAAGATATTTATTTAAATTAAGTAATTATTTTCTAAAATTAAATAAAGAAGTTTTAAATGTAAATTTGTTTCTTTAATTTTAGAAAATAATTACTTAATTTAAGCAAATATTTTCACAGTACTATCCAAACAAACGAAATTTAGTAAATTTTCTTCTCAATGTACCGTCAAATTTACGTGCACCCGTCTGTCTGTGGCGGTGTTGGCTACTTCAATGTCCGTCGCAACTTCCTCTCTCCGGCGCTGCTTCAGTTGCTTCTGCCTTCCTAATGTAATCAAGTCGAATTTAGTGCTCGCGATTCCCGCGAGAGCACGCATCGCGTCGTCGTCGACGGAGCGATAATTCGCAATCATCGAGTCACAGCCAGCAATCCTTCGCGAAATGAGAAAGTTCGATCGTAAGTGAATGCCGAACGTGGCTCGTAACTTCCACCGTGATCCTCAGCTGAAAATCCTCGACGACTACACCTTAGCTGATCGACGATCTAGAAGAGTCCCGCGCCGCTTGTTTACGAGCACTCCGGCTAATTCGACGACAGAGTTCACGGTCGACTTTCTCCGGCCGTTCCGCAAAATTCGATCACTTCCGCTCAAGTTGCCCGACCAAACTTCGTCGGCGGATAGAATTCGTACGGATAATTAATCTTTCGTACAACAGGGATTAATTAACTCGTGTGAATTTATTCGCGCCTGAAACCCGCATAAGAAATTTCTTGGGATCCAGTTCGATCCCCCGGAATAATTACGGGTTCTTGTTAGAAGTATAATGTTTCAAACGTGCGATTCTTAAATGGCAAATACCAAAAGTATTCCCAATATTCTTTCTTTTGCTTTAAAACATGCTGCCCTTTTGCATTCTAATGGATATAATAGTTGATGTAAAAATAGGGTTTCTTGTTTGATACCATAAAAATAAATCAGGGCGTTACGGATTGAAAAAGTTCCTGCAGTATTTCTGTTCTAGACCGATTCTAGATAGAGCACGCCTGTTTCCCAAGTAGTACAATTTCCAGGAAAAACTGGCCACCAGCCAGAAAACGGCCAGTTTTTACTGTCTAGGAATTATTAAGCAGTAACTATTCAGAAACTGAACAGGAAAATACTGGCTAGTATTTTTCGTCTAATTGCTGACCAGAAGTTAAGCAAGGAAAAATGGCAAAAATAAAGTTATAACCATCTAAATAATAAATTAATTTTCACGCGTGAAAAAGGTTTATTTTCTGAAACACAGGTTTTACATTATTTTTACATCGAAAAATAGAATTATTTTATATTAAGTAATAATATGTAATATATTTATATTAAATAATATAATATTTTACTAAAAGATGTAATATTTTAATTAAACATTTTATTTAATATTTCATTATTTTATTTAATATTTATTAAATATAATATTTTAATTTAATATTTTATAAAAAATATAATATTTTACAAAATTGAACGACGAAAATTATTTCATGGAATGTACAAAAACAAGTTTAGTTGAAAACTGATCAAAAACTGGTTAGAAACTGATCAGAAACTGATCTAGTTTTACCATCAAGATGCTAGTAAAATAAGAGCGTCGCCTAAGTTGGCCAGAAACTAATCAGAATGCTTGGTCAGTTACTGACTAACAAGAACTCGCTTCTGTTTGGATTGGGATGATAAGAATAGGATTTCCCATTGATATCGTACTGAGATAAACTAATTTTGACACAATTTGGGTATATTCTCATCTGTGGTGTATCTGGGAAAATCTTGGATAATTTTTATACGGGATGCTACAGCAAGCAGTAGCTTTCAATTCAGTGTTATTACATAACGCAACAATGATAACGGATGTAATATACGTTCCGATATTTCGTGTCATCGGTTAAAATTCCAACTCGGCAATGTCACGTGAAAAATTAAATGCATGATAAACCATAAAATCAAAACGTCCAAACATTTCGCGACAAAGCAGCGTAAAATTAGAGAAATATACTTATTTAATATTTATCGTAACGTGCGCGCAGAGTGTTGTACAATATGAAATTAAACAAGTTCTATCGGCATAAAACTGCCCTCTGCATGCTTGTGAATTTTCTATCATGAATTATCTTTATTGGCTACAGCGATTACAGTATTTATATGTGCTGCAGCTCGAACGCCGCACGATATAACGCCGCATAATGTAAACGTCAAAGCGAACGTCAAGCGCGTGTATCGATTTTATAATTATATTACTTTTGTCAGAGGGATGAAAATTGAAAATTACACGAGCATTTATTTCGGATAATGGTGATTACTCGGAGGAACGTTCATCGCGTTTATTAAATGGCAAAATTGTACTTATAATTAAATACAAATTAATACCGCCTCAGATTATCCATATTATACCATTGTTATCGAACACTGTATATTTTTTCATGTGGAATATACACGCGCGCATCACACACAAAGAATGATATCTGTTTTACGATCTTTACCATCCTACTTTTATTTTATAAATATTTATTTCCTAAAGCTCTCTCTTTACGGTATTTGACAGAACATCCTCTTTGAGGAGATTTCCTTATATAGAATAATAAAAGATGGATGATGTTTATAAACTTTTCTAAGGAACCGAATGTTCCAATTTCAATGTTTCAAAAAGTTGTTTCCGAAAGTTCCCAAAGTGCGCACATGTTTCCAAAAGTTTCCAGTCTCAATGATTGAAACTTTGTGTTTATTGTGTCGGGTTTAAAAGCTTTCCATCGTCGTCGGGTCGATAACAACAAAAATATAACTGTGCACTGGGGAAAATGTTGCAGTGAAAATTACGTCAAAATTATATATCTTTTGTAAAGTGAACTATATTGCGAAATTGTACTACAAATTACCATAGAAATAACAATTTGACGATCTATTCGATATAAAAAAACACTCGGACAATTACAATAATTTTGCAGTAAAAAGTCAGAGGTGCGTAATATTTCGAAACAAATATATAGCAATTTCGGTTATAAATGGTCTAAAATTGCGATTTTTATTACATTTTCTCCGTATATATAAACGACACGGTGCGAAAAACTCGTACAGCCATCTAACGCGAAGCAAATTCAATCGCTGCAGTCGCAAAAGTGTGGCTATTGTCCGTAGCAGGATAATTCTTAAAGGCGCGACAGGATAGCGACATTCCGAAGCGAAAAATCGCATTTCTCGCAAAATCGATCCAGCCGTTATGTCGCATTATTTAACTGATGATCCTCCCTTGTTTTTATGCGCAGGAGTGGACGGACTACAACCTCCAGTGGAACGAATCTGAATACGGCGGTGTGAAGGACCTTCGAATTACGCCGAACAAGCTTTGGAAACCGGATATCCTCATGTACAACAGGTAATCTGGCCTCGTTACATTTGCGTAGCAACTCTCATTTTGTATTGACAAGCCAGTAGCCTTCGACTAACAACATTTGTCAGGAGCATTTCAGTTTAGCACGGGCGCAAGTGGAGAGAAGCGCCAGTCCCGTAATAGAATTCTTAATTAAAGTGCGCGTAAAAGAAACAAGAACCGCGTCAACTACGCTTATGATCGTCGTGTTAATAAAGCATGACCGGACAAACGGCACATTCCGTGTAAAACACACGCGCAAACTGCGATTCTCCAAGGTCGTCGAAATTCCCCGTCGCGCCGGGCGCGTTTACGCTTTCTCGACTCACTAACGAACACAATCGGCCGAACAAAATCAAAATAAGTCTCCTTCATTTCGGTGATAGCGATTCTCGATCATACGAGACGAAATCTGACGACGTTTCTCCTTGATGATTGTATAATTGGTCGCAACACGATTTGCATATCTTTTATTATCGAATGAAGTCACAGCGCTTTAAATGTCTCAATTAAGAACTACTACTAACGTACGCTCAACGCACTCACGTTATCTCTTCGTGAAATATATAAAAATTACTTCAAAGTATATAAAAATTACTTCGAAATATATAAAAATCGCCTAAAAATATATGAAGATCAAACATTACCTTTTCTAATCGCGATTCAATTGAAAAATTCACACCTGACTCTGAATTTAAATCTGAATATCTCATCGAAGGCAAGTTTAAAATTTAATAATGCAGATTAAGAGGATGCTGAAAACTTTACCGATAGAATACTGACATTTTTCGGCAAAGTTTATGTCGTATTGGTTGTACAGAATTACTGCTTTTATGCAATCAAAGTTCGTGCAAAAATAAATAGGGGTATTGCTCAATATGTCATGAAAACGAGAAAAAAATTTTTAAATGTAAAATCTCAAGCTGTCAGCATAATATTTGTCTAATCCAAAAATTGTCTATACAAAAAATTCTGTATATACTTTACATAAGTTCTACATACACACACACACACACACACACACACACACACAAAATACGAAAAGAATAGCGAGGATCGCTTCTATGTTATCGACATTTTTACATTTTTACATTTTTACATTTTTAAATGTAAAATCTCAAGCTGTCAGCATAATATAATATTTGTCTAATCCAAAAATTGTCTATACAAAAAATTCTGTATATACTTTACATAAGTTCTACATACACACACACACACACACACACACACACACACAAAATACGAAAAGAATAGCGAGGATCGCTTCTATGTTATCGACATTTTCGGAGCTCGTCATCCACTTCAGCATCTTTGCAATGATACAGATTTCAATGGCGACTACTTGAAGCTACGTGACTTCCTTCGACAAAGAGTGTGCAAAGCGAGATTTCGCGACCAAGCATACGCACGCGCGATCAAACAAAATCGACACTCGACGAGCCCGCGCTTTATTCAGCCGCACGCGCAATTCCGCGTAATCCGTCCATGATTTAACCGCAATTGCGATGCACTGTTGAAGATAAGCCGCAGCCGCCGCGCGGACTTCCGGGCGCGATCGCGATTTCGCGCGGTATCGTCGATATTTCGAGCGTGACAACGCGCGCAGGCGTCGGGGGAGGCTCGTCGGGCCGTTCGACCGGGACGCGATTCCGCACCGATTTCGCGCACAATCGCGAGAAATTGCAATCGGCACAGGTAAAGGGATCTCGGAGTAGAAACTCTCTCTCTCTCTCTCTCTCTCTCTCGCTCGTTCGCTCGTGAGAGAAGGGAGAATCGCGCGAAGATTACTCGCTCCGAAAGCTGTGTCCACGACGTCGCGCGTCGAACGTAACTCCGCCGCAGCTTGTCCGGAAGGTACCCCGCGGCAACACTCCCCTGGTGTGCGTACACCTGAGAGAGAGGGAATTAAGATTTTGAAGAATGTCTTTTTCAGAAAAAAGAGCCGCGATGGCTAAGAAATAGCGCGGCGCTACGTGTAGCGCCGCTGCAGCCAAAGTTTTTTCATTAACTTTAAGTCGTTCCCCCCCCCCGCCTCCCACGGACGCACGGCAGGCAGCCCCGTTCGAGCGGGGGGCGCGGGGGATGGGGGAAGGGGTGAATTATTTACAACGTACCTCTCTTATCTTCTTTTTTTCTTCTTTACGTGCTCTGTCACTCTCATAGCGAATGTAGTTGTAAAAAAAAGAAAAGAAAAAAGTATCAAAGGGTACGTAACTTTTATCCTAGTGTTGCTTCGCATCTTACATATTCGAAAGTATATTATTACATACATACATATATATATATAATATATATACAACATATATATATCTCTCTCTTTTATATATTAAAATCCCTGAAATGCATGTGTTTATACTTGAATCCTATATATAGTAAGAGCCGAGTATATTATATATTTATATACTTGTACTATGTATATTATCTACAATTTTTCATTTGTAAATATTGTTTCCACGTAATATTACTGACCCCGATCGTAGTAATCTCTCTCTCTCTCTCTCTCTCTCTCTTTCTCTCTCTCTCTCTCTCTCTCTCTCTTTATTTACTTACGTATCGACGGCTCGACTCGCTTCTGCGTCCCTCCGGTCTCCTCCGCCCCGTCGCCGGCGAACTTCCGGCGCGAATGTGACGAGGGCGTGCGGACGTTCGCGAGAAGCGGGTTGGGCCGCGCGAACTTACGAATTACGCGGCTGATACGCAGATCTTGAGTTCAATGGCCACATAGAGGAAGTAACGTTTGCATAAGCGCCGGTCACTTTCATTTCTCCGTAGAAGAAACGCGAAAAGAAAGAAAGAAACCACGCGGAAGTCGGCCACGTCGTCGTGCGTGTCGCGCGTGCAGAGGAGAGAATTCCCGGGATAATAATCACGATTTCGCGATCGGGCCGGGACGAAGCGAAGCGCGATTCGCGTTTCCCAGCCCGGGGAGATGCTGAAACGTTGATAACGTGGGAATTCCGCTCGGGTCGGATCGCATTCTCTCCTCCTCTCTTCTATGGCGTAGGCGGGTCGACGACGACGCAGCCGACTCTCGCATTCTCAGTCACTCTCTCTCTCTCTCTCTCTTTCTATATATATATATATATATATATATATCACAGCCTCTAGAATAATTAGCCTTAGGTATTTATAGACTTGCAACTATACATATATATATATACAATCGACGACTGGCCGGCGTGCGTGAACGCGTTCGTCGCGCGATTCACACGTACGACAGTCCGTCAGATGAAAATACGCTAGCCGCTCGCTGTCAGCCGATTCCCGCCGACAATCGTGCAGTAAAGATGGTTGATATCCACCCCGTGAGGTGACGTGTTGTCTGACAGTGCGTAAGTGAACACGCACACGCGTTACAATGAGTCGCGCGGTGTACAGAGCGACCGAACGTCGCGGATTGCGATCTGCGCGACTCCCTTCTTCACGGAACGTGCAAAGGACCATAATAAGACCATAGTGAATGAGGCGGTCCGCGCGTTTCTCGCAGTGGCATGCCAGACTGGGTATGTTTTGCGTGATACGACGCGTCGGCCAAATTAATCCTATTTCGCGATTGGGAGCAAAACGCCGGCGAATAAGATCGCCGCGAGTTTTAATTATAAAAGCGCCGGATGGAATAACAGCGTTTCGATTTCGACCAGATTCTATCCCTTCTAGCCCCCTTGTTTCCCCCTTTCCCACCCCCTCTGCCCCGCCTTCGCGGACGTTACACGCTCCGATTATTTTCGATCGGCTCGTGGATTATCCGTCGTTGGAGCGGAGAGAGGCTGGGATGTAAATTAGATATTCGCCACCAATCGTCGAGTGAACATCAGGACTGGATCGTATTAACAATCAGATGCGATTAGGAGCGTGATCCCATAATCGGGATGAAATTTTCAGACAGCACGCACAACCATTTTCTCTGCGGGTGAGCACACATTACCGACCGAGCAGCGCGTCCGATCTGGTGCGTAAACGTCCCTCGCGAGCTTGTGCATCGCGAATGCAGTCATCAGACGTCGACAGCATGCTCATGAGCATTGTTGAACGATGCTCGAAGCGAGGCGACCTGATTACCTGTTCAGGATAATCTCCGCGAGGCAGAGAAAGGAGAGAAAAGGGGGGAAGTGCGACAGGACCGTATACAGAATTTCCTAGTAAAAATGTTACTGCGGAATTCGGTAACGGGCCGGCATTCTGCGGTGATTGAACCCGTCGACGCGGAATCCGATTTCGTGCACGCTACTTATTTCCGGGGAAACGTGCTGTTAAAAAAATTGCTACGGTTTCCAGCGAAATTTGCTATTTACTGAGAGAACAAGTATTCAGCATTTGTCGACGCAATCACGCAGCAAAAGAATTGTAGGAGAACCGTTTTCGTAATAAATGCGTTGGTGTTTACTTTTCTAGAATAACAAGAAGATACATACGGAGAAATTATTGCAGTAAAAAAATTACGTTAAAATTGAATTTTTTATCGCAATATTGTTTGTAAAGTTGAAATATATATTTAAATTGTAGCGTAAATTAAAAGAAAATTGTGAATTTTACAATCAAATATACGATGTAAAAAGACATTCAAGAAATTACAACAATTTTCAGTAAAAAATCAAACATACAATAACGTTCAAAAAATAAAAAATGTTTTAAATAAATATCCGCAGCGATTCCGGCCATAATTCTGCACGGTTCGAGGTCACAAAAACATTTTGTTGCAATTTTTATATTTTCTTCGTGACAACTGGTGCTGGAAATAATTCCTGATGAGCTTAGCCATTTTTCTTCTTAATGTTCCTTAACGAGACTGATAGTTTATTTCTACGTTACTAAAAATCTAGCGAAATTAAAAAGAATTTCCACAAAAGAAGAAATCGTAAAACATTGTGTGTATGACGAAAAAATGATGGAATAATTAAAGCTACACAGGGGGATTGCATTACGCCTACATGGACGATTAATTACGGCGCGATTAATAGCTGCCGCTAGTGTCGAGGCCGCCATCGAACGCGAAAGTGAAAATAATT